ATGAAGTATATGACGAGTTCAAAGTAACATTCCACATAATTTGTGACCGAGGAGAGCAATGTTTTACAATACTTCGCTGCATTTCTGGTACATTTCTACACTGGAAATTTTTGCACGCAATAACACAATCTTATACTGTAACTTTTTAACTGTAAACATTGTGAATAAAGAGGCCGCTTTGAACCTTGTGTGACTTGCTATATACAACAACTAGGGCGGCGAACCGAAATCCCGAATTAGGTGTGAGTTCGAATAATTTGTGTTTAGTGTTTACCTTTGGAGTTTGTGTCTAATCACGAAAATAGTTCATGTGGTATCAATCCCTCGAAACATGTTGCCAGAGTTGTTGTTGTCATTATGACAGAAGCACTTGGGGAAAGCTTTTCGCTTGACGAGATTCGAAACAAGTGTGATTGAGAATGTGGCTGCAATTCCTGTCTTCGTGGCAAAGCCAAGGGCGAAATTTTTGACCGTGCAAAAGCTGTATAAACAGCTTTTGTTCAAGCTCGTGCGCGCTATGGAGATAATTTTGGATGCTGTTTTAATATAAACAACAGAAGAGTTCAATAGATTGACAGTGACGAGAGTACGAGACGCTAAGATTATATTCAACTTTTTTCTGTTATAAAAATGTATGTTTTGAAATTATGAACTGGAAGTATGAATTCATTGATATTACTCTCATATTGACACTAAATGATGATATTCTTGTGACACTGAATGATCTAATATTAGCTTCAACAATTCTGGTGATCAGGTTACTTCATCATGTCTCTTCAAGACGGAGGACAATTGCTAAATATATGCTTGTTTCGCTCTATATCAGAGCTCATCAGAATGCCCAGGAAACACTGATGAAATTTTGATTTACATCAACGAATCTTTCTTTTTTTTTACAGATTTATTGGGTTATATGGTAATATATATATACAGACATTAAAGGAGAACTCCAAGGGGTAAAGCACAAACATGACTCCAGGGCTTTATTTATAGTCTTTATATGCCCCCTGAGAATACTGAATATAGCTACTAAATATAATTACAGTTTGTAACATGAACAATCAGATAAGCACCATTTACATAACATAAGAACCTGTTTAGGCTAACTTGAAAAAAATCTAGGTTCTTATTCGCAGGGTTTTACTGTGTTGTCTAATTTTGTCCCAAACAGACCATGCACGGCAGCCTGTTCTGGCAACATAGATAATGGGATGGTGCCACCCTTTGTGACACAAAATCAGGCAATTATAGTACAATATGAACTGGCAAGTGTCTGGCACCTTAAAATCAGATTGCTTTGTGTAGATGGAGCTCATAAGCCTTGGCTAGCAATCCATATAGGAGAAAGAAAGCTCTGATTTCAAACCACCAGACCCCACTTTTGGACAAGACATGTATAGTAACTATATCAGTCATGACCATCTAAAAATGCCAGTATATATGCACTTATACAAAGCTGTATGCACTGTAAAGCTACACTTTATTTATCTCAATGACATTTTCAGGGTTCTGGATCATTTTCATTACTTTGTGAAGATTTTATTCTCTTTGATTTTTATACATTTTTAGATGTGACCAGTCTCCATGTGATAAAATAAGAACCTAAAATACTAGCCTAAACAGATTGGGTGTCTAAATACTGAAAAATTAGCCTGACGTACAGGCCCTTATATAGGTTCTTATATGCAAGCTTTTACTTACAATTAGGGTGGAAAATATACTAGTACGTAATTATTAGTTGAGTTTGTTTACATTATATAAGCATTTGTGATCAAAATCTTTTATAAACTAAATATCTTAGGGGTGTTTATATGGAGGCAAGCCATCCCGGTTATCTGAGCTACTGTAGGTGGCTTTGCCTAGCTAATTTCATCATGTAGCAGGCTGGCACCGAAACAAATCATCGCGAGAAACTGTCATGGTTATGACCGTCACAAGTGTTCACAGAGGCATTAATTTATAAAATTATAGATCAAAAATCTGTTGAGAAAGTCTTATTTACTACAATTAGTACAATATATTCGTATTCAGCGGCTTAGGCAAACCAGCCAACCTAGGCGAGATCTGGGGCTCTGTCGGGCTTCACAAATTAAACAAGATCTCGCTTAGGCAAGCCAGCCTGGTTCTCATATACACACAATACGAATATTAGTATAAATTATCTAGCAACATTAGATCTCTGCCAAGCGAGCTAGCTCAGGCACCCGAGCTGGCTTGTCTCCATATAAACACCCCATTAGGTCAAGTACTGTAACTTCAAAGCAACTAAAAGGCATTTAAACTGTTATGTGGTTTGATCAAATTAAAATCTATACTTTAACTTTGATCAGAGAAACTTTTTGATGTGTTTCTATTAAGTTTTAAGTGAGCACAAGTTGTCCACGAGCAGACAGTCAAAGACAGTAAAGCACTGCCACAGTCAAGTAGATTATCATTCTGACAAGTGACAATAACACGTCTATATAAACAGCCATCCAAAAGTCCCAAACATGTTCACTCCAAATTGTTCATTAGTTTTTCATCGACAACTCACTAGTCTGGAGTATCATATCTTTAGGCCTTTATAATTATATTATAGGTTTCAGTTTGTAAATAAAATAGATAAACAGTTCGTATATATTAACGATAGCGAAATAGTGTAATAAAGAAAATTTTATAGTCATTAAAACCTCGATTGATGGGCTTCAACAAGCGAATTCTCTGAAGGATCAACATTGCAGCTATGTTGGGAGCAATCTCCAATCCTTCTTGGATACTTTTCTTGACAACCTTTGGTAGAAGCTTGAGGATGCAGGTATATCATAGCCATTCATGGGCAGACGCAGAAATGGAATGCCCTCTCCATCGAGGAAAACAATAAAATAGATACACTTTGATACACTTTCGAAGCATCCCTGTTAGCGTAGTATCATTTCCTACTCGTCATGTTGCCTCAATAACTCGTTATTTGACGGACTGTCGCTCAAAAAAGCTCAAAATATTTTGGAAACTTCTTCGCTCCTTGGGCATTAAATTCAATTGCGATAAAAACAACGCGCGTGTTATTGCCAGAAATGAGACTGGACCGAACAGAAACGGAGGATGACAACTTCCTGTGTGTCCCGGCCCGCATAAACAAAAGTCCAGCACATGCGCAGATGCGACTGTAACCTACCTTTAAATAACTTGGTGAGTTTTCAAATTGTTTCCATTAAACTCCGTTAAATGTCAGAACTTCTAAAGAGCTGCAATTAGAACCGAATAATAATTGTGTATTAATTTCAACAATTCGAAGACGCTCTTAACTTTAACATATCACGTTTACCACAAGACTTCAAGAGTAAATATTTTTTCACCAAATTATTATATATATATATATATATATATATATATATATATATATATATACCCTTCCTAATAAATTCGGATATTCATCTCACATTCTTGCAACTAATCGTCCAGCGAGTCTTCCAAGAACCAAGACTAGTTCACCAAATCTATGCAAATTTTATTTACATCTACATTTAATTTAAATTTAAATTTAAACGTATAAATGAATTATAAATAAATTTGGTATGTGCACCAGAATTTGAATAGAGTATACTTTCTTCAAGATATGTATCGAGTATGACAATGATGATGTGTATAGTAAAACCGTTGGTTTTGAAAATTTCTGCAAGCTGAGTCGATCGAGACACGGACAATGGTTCTATTACAAATACGCTCTTCGAGGCCAAGAGATCGGCAGTAAAAGCAGATCACTCTATTCCTTTACTTAAATCATTTAACCTAAAAATGCACGTGCCATTTTAACAAATCAAACAGAAACTACCAAAAAGTACTAGTTTAGGCAATACCAGCCTTTAACGCCTAGCATTCATTTATTTACTGGCGGCTAGGGAAGGCTTCACTTGATATTCTAGCCTTGACATTCTATAATTTACGCGGTATCCAAAACAGAATCGAAATTTGCAGAGTGACGGACTAGTGGGGGTGTCATGCACCCCCCCCCCCCCTCCCCCCTCCCACAAACACACCCCTTTAGCGCCGCCCCTGAGTATATAACCACGGTAACTGGCAATTATTGAAGATAACATGCAACTAAACTTTGCGGTCTGTTTTTTGTATAATTGCAGCCGGTGTATGCCGACAAGTGTATCAAGTCTGATTTGTGTTTTACACCGTCCACGTATCGATCTTAATTAGTCGGTAAAACTTTCGGTTTCACGGTTTGTAGCATGGTATCTACATCAGTGCAGCAGGAAGAGTATTAGACAACTTCAAATGAGTTTAAATGATTTTCGACCGGTTTAAATATGTTTCTAGTATATAATCCGGTATATGACTTCTCCACGCGCGACTTAATTATAGTTGCGTCTGTTGAAATTATAGTATATTGTTTTAATTCACAAAATCTAGCTCTTGCTCTATATCGGAGTGCACCAACTGATGTGTAAAGTAGAATTTACTTTATCTCAGAACTCTGCCAAAGAATGACAATATAAGAAATTCCCAATTTCTTACATCATCAGTTTAATCATCATGCACTGAAACGGTAGCAGTCAATTAGCCTTTCGCCCGCCATTTTTGGATGGTCTGCGAGATAAAACCACATATAGCGACTTTTTATAATTTTTTTGACGAATGATGGTAAATTTGCTTTGTAAATGGTTTACTTAGTATATTTTGAATTTTTTTTTTACGATCGGAGTCGCGGTTTTAATTGTCTGCATTGGTTAACGAGAATTAGGCCTACAATAGATGCCACCCATGCAAAAATGCGGCGGACATTCGTCATCGTGAGACAAAATCAACTTTATATCCTATACATAACAGACCATCCTATAAATAATTTCTTTAAAATAGTTCTGGCACTGAGGAAGAGCCTTCCCCTGAAGCTATATAGTATATAATTATTAACTATAACTATTATTGCTATGCAAATCAAAGCGACACAAACTGCATGTATACTGAAATGATTTAAAACTTTAATTATTCATTGCATGATATCATATTATCATATAGCTAGTAGTTTCTGATACTGAGATTAAAATCAGTTTTTGTCTTAGGACTTTTTTAAAAAGTTATAGCTTATCCCGACATATTGCAAAGTAGGCTATCATGGCAACTGCATCACTTTTCTATATAATAGTATATATATACATGTTACTTAGTAAATCTTGTCACTCATTTTGTAGGCGCCATTGAAAATTGCGGCAAATTTGACAGACAATATGTGCATGTAGTGGCCATGGCCAGGCTAAAATTCTACTTTGCTCAAGAATATCGTCGAAGCGCCCAGTGGATCGTAGTAGAATTTTGAAACCGCCGCAGCTTTTCCATAGAGTATACGTAGCTGACGTCGACTTTTTAATTCCATATCATCCATCCAAGTTTCCCAGTTTCGTTCCGTCGCTCTGAATTAAGAAACTTTATCTACCGTCCATGAAGAAAACTTAGTGATCGGAGTCGGTGCCGGGTTTGCTACACCATTTTATAAAAGTCCTTTCGCACTTTTTCGTTTTGGCGTTTTTGCTCATCACCCGAGAAATTCATGCAGCGGTGGCAAGCTGGTAATTTAGATCAGTATTTATTTCTTAGTATAAACTCCAGACTACTGTACGTGCTAAAAGTTCAAAAGAATAAAAAAATTGAAATCTTTCAATTAAAGTGGGTGAGGTGTACTAAAAAAAACTTTATTTGTCTGTAGATACACTTCATATGACACGAAACACTAACATTGTATTCGATAATTCAGTTATCACGTTAATTGGCAATTGTTGAAGGTGATCTGGTGATGGCGACAAGTGTCTCACGTCTGGTGTTTGTTTTATATATATATATATATATATATATATATATATATATATATATATATATATATATATATATATATCTTAAGATTTTGGTTTACGAAACACAAACAGTACTCAATACCATATAGATAGAGCGTAGTATAGTTTTTCGTTTTACGTCAAAAAACCACAACAGTCTGTTTCATCCGTATAGGAATTATATATATATATATATATATATATATATATATATATATATATATATATATATATATATATATATATATATATATGTTATTTGTATATATACGTGTGGGAATTGAAAAACCGAAAACATAATGATCGGAGTCGGTGGTTTGCTACACCATTTTATAAAAGTCCTTTCGCACTTTTTCGTTCCGGCGTTCCTGCTCATCACTCGAGAAATTCATGCAGCGGTGGCAAGCTAGTAATTTATATTATAAAATAACATGTATATAACGCGTGTTCTGATTGGTCGAAACCCGTGTTTGGATCAGGCCATCCAAACACGGAAGACTATCGTGTTGTTGTTATTTTATAAAACAATTACTTTATGGTTTCCGTGTTTGGATGGCCTGATCCAAACACTTGGGAATGTTGCTCGAGTTAAGAAAAGCGGGCAAAATCACTCGCCTTCGGCTCGTGTTTCGCTCGCTTTTCTTAACTCTCGCAACATTCCCGCGTGTTTGGATCAGGCCATCCAAACACGGAAACCATAAAGTAATTGTATATCAGTATCTATTTTTTAGTAAATTAGTCCAACATTGCTTAAAATTCAAAAGCCTGATATAAGTATTTCAAATATTTCAAATATTTCAATTATGAAATCTACTAGAATAAGTTTATTTGTCTGTATCTACACTTCATATATGACACGAAACACTGACATTCTATTCGATAATTCAGTTATCACGGTAAGTGCATGGCAATTATTGAAGGTGATTAGCGACAAGTGTCTCACGTCTGGTTTGTGTTTTGGAAAACACCGTCAACGTATCGATCTTTAGTTGGTAAAACGTTCGGTTTATATCATGGGATCGTGCAGCAGGCAGACTGAGTATCAGCTAGACGACTTCAAATGAGTTTAAATGACCTCCAGAAAAGGACTCTTGATAATATCAATTTCCGGTTTGAAAGTGATTCAATATATCGATAAAAAGCTTTTGATATATGTATATCGACAATAAGATTTTGATCAGTTTATACATGGACTATCGAAGGGGAGATGGCTGTGAAACTCATTAGAATAACAATATAACTCATTATTATATATCAATAGTCAAAGTCGCATTTTTCTAGTGTTTTACTGGTTGAGAGCATATCACGTGAGAGTGACGAAATTAGGCTGTCTCCCTCGCAACAGCGCGAGAGGGAGATAATACGTTATCGACCGGCGAATAACAAATTAAGTAACTGCAGTGTAGCCAGTGTTTAATATAACGTTTTAACAATAAAATATTTCATGTATTTACGTTCATTTGTTCTTTAATTTGTTGTTTCTTTAACTATTGATATATAATAAAACACTTAGCTATTTACTGAGACTCGGGAAAGCAGTGTGTTTTGTGGACCATCGACCGTCGAGGGTCCACAAAACACACTGCTTTCCCTCGGTCTCAGTAAATAAGTGATAATTATCTATCGGTTAGTCAACGTTTATTCATAAATCAGGTCCTTTCACCGTCACGTGTGCATGTATTGTATTTTTACCAAATCCACCAATAGCAATTTCTAGTTTCCTTATTGTTCGAGTCACGGATATAGGTGACTTTCCTAAAACATTGCTATATTGGTTAGTTGGATAAAAATACAATACACACGTGTCGGTGAAGGAACAGATTTGTGAATAAACGTTGACCAACATAGATAATGAGTTATATTGTTATTCTAATGAGTTTCACAGCCATCTCCCCTTCGATAGGCTATGGCGGTTTATCTGGACATGTAAACTTCGTTGTTTTTACTTCATCTGGCTCTCTAGTCAGAATTTGGGCTCTGTTCGTATTATTACGTGGCTAGGAGGAAGATGACATTTGCCAGTATGTCCTATATCCTATCCGACTAACATCCTGTAAGGATCTAAGCGCGAGGTTTCCGTTGCCGGCAGAATGCTGACTATGGAAGTCAAGAAATTCACCATTTCCAGTAAACACTCGATCGCAACCAGGTAACATAAATTTGTCTTCAAGCATGTGTTCTGCATGCCTAGATCATATAAACAGGTCCCCGATAGATCCTGAAACTATATAATTGGAATTGAACATTTTAGGCCATAAATTTGTGCATTACCAGAATACCTATAAATAAATTAATATTTACATATATTTTCTGATAATGCAATCCGGTATTAAGTCGCCAGCAATCTCACAAATAGACCACCCTTCCGAAAATAAGCTCTCCCTTCCAAAAATAAGCACTCCCTGTTAAGGGCTGCCAATACTGTATGTGCCATGCCTGCACAGCAAACATGCCTGGATTTCTTTTCAAGACTGTCAGACTAGTGTTGGCAAGAAATTTGTGCGAAATGTTGGTTTAATTTGTTAATGGCCACATGTAGCTTCAAAATCATTTTATTAATTAATTTCTTACTTGATTAGGCCAAACTGTGATACAACATAATTTTTAGTCTAATGAGCTGGTTGGCATGCAACTTTATTACCTTTAGTGTGAGACCGGCTCCCAGTAAGCAGAAGCTGGGCCTGTCAATTCGACCAGCATGCAGGTTCATGTGAATGCAACATCAAAATATTAAACAAAAAATACATGAGGCACCAGCTTGCCCGGTGTGACATCATATACTACAGCACCTGGGTCATTCTACAAGAATAGGGCCAAAATGATCCAATTGTTGTTTCATGATCTGTTAAGGGTCTGTTTATATGATCTGGGCTGGGCAGCATGGAACCCTGAAAGCAAGTACATGTTACCTGCGTGCATGATTGGGATTATAGAGAGTTCACTGTATATAAATACAATTAATTTATTGACTTGCGTAATTGGGATTCTGGCAAAGGATACCTCGGGCTTATAGTTAGGATAGTAGCAAGGCTCTGAAGTGACTCCATATAATTCCCAAATTTTTACGTATAAAATGTAAAAATTTTAAAGCGCTGCTCGCTTGAGAACGAAATTCCCCCTGTTTACCAAAATTTATCTGATTCGGGAATGCATAATTATGAACAGCTATAGTATAACTATATATGAATTCCCATCTGAATGACTCTTTGAGAATTGCTATAACCATTTTACTCTTCTATGGGTAGTACTTGAGGGCGTAACGGATCATGATTCCAAGCTTCCAGCTATACAGTCTATATATTTTTATTTAATAAAAAGAACTTCGGAATCCTTTGATTAAATTTGGTTGCAAAATACGAAAAATATAATAGCCGTGAAACATATAGCTGCGAAATTAGCAAATTTTGAGTATTTTAGCATCAAACTATACTCCCAATTCTTACATCACTCTAGTCATTAGTGAACTGAACATGCAGTATTGTGGTCAATTCAACTCCAAAACAAAATAAAGGCTAGATCCTATATATAACAGATCATCCTACACTGGAAGAGCTCAGTTCCTGTTACAACTAACTATACAACTATTATTGCTATTACAAAATTAACTACAACTATTATTGCTATGTAAATCAAAGCGACACAAACTGCATGTGTATGACTTAAAACTTTATTTATTGCATGAATTGTTTAATTAAAATTTCGTTTCGTTCGCTCTGAAAGAAACGTTATCTAGCGTCCATCAAGAAAATTTAGTGATCGGAGTGGGTGGTTTGCTACACCATTATATACAAAAGTCCTTTTCCCAATTTTTCGTTCTAGCATTCCTGCTGATCACCCGAAGAATTCATGCAGCAGTGGGAGGCTAGTTTAGATCAGTATCTATTTCTTTGTAAATTAGTCCAACGCTGTACGTGCTAAAAATTGAGTTTTGACTATTTCAAATATTTAAATTCATGTGGGTGAAATATACTAAAATAACTTTATTTGGCTGTATGTACGACAAGGAACACTGAAATTATTTTCGAGAATTCTGTTATAATTACGGTAATTGGCAATTATTGAAGGCGATTGGCAACAAGTGTATCACGTCTGGTTTGTGTTTTGTTAAAAATCGCCCACGTATCGATCTTTATAGTAGGCAAAACTTTCGGTTTGTAGCATAATATCTACATCAGTGCATCGGTAAAATATTAGACGACTTCAAATGAGTTTTGCATAAATTTGTGCATTACCAGAATATAGTTGTAAATAAACTAATATTTATTATACACGATATACTGTATTATACAAAAATCCCATATTAAGCCCCGCTAACCTTACATGCAAATAAGCCTCCCTTCCACAAATAAGCTCTCCCTTCCAAAAATATAAACTCTCCCTATAGGGCTGTCAATATATGGGCTAAGCCAGCTCAGCAAACATGACTTGATCTCTTTTCAGGGCTATAGTTTGTCATTTGCCTCACAGGAGTCAAGATATAACCTGGAAAGTGTTGGCAAGAAATTTGTGTGAAATGCTGGTTAATTTGTTAATGGCCACAGCCAACAGCTTCAGGAACCTTATATTAATTAATTGCTTACTTGCTTGGGCCAAATGTGTATTATAACATGATTTTTAGTTCAATGAGCTGTTTGGCAAACGTATGACACTATGACTTTTAGTGTGAGACTCCCAGTGCATGTAAGATCTCATGACTTGCTCAAGCAGAAGCTGGACCATGCAGTCAATTCGACCAGCATGGTTTATGTGAATG